GTGATTGATTTTTGACCCACTTGGTCATGATATTGTTGGATTTAATTTGCTAAAATTTAGTTCAAAACGTTTGCACCTGTATTCTTGGGGGGCACATTGGTCTGTAGTTTGTTGTGTTTTTAATGTTTTTCTGTAGCTTTTGTTTTAAGGTAATAATGCTTTCATAGAAATGGGTTGAGAAGTAGTCTCTCTTCTTAAATTTTCTAGAAACATTCACATGAAATGAATGTTATTTCTACCCAAAATGTTTGCTAGCATTTACCAGTAAAAACATCTGGGCCTATATTTTCTTTATGGAAAGGTTTTTAGCTATAAGCTTAATTTATTTAATAGAGAGCTATTTAGTGTATTTATTTCTTCTTTAATAACTGTTGATAAATTGGATGCTTATGGGAACTTTCTCATTTCACCTAAGTTGGCAAAGTTATTGGCAAAAGTTGTTCATAATACTCTTTTATTATTCATTTCAGTGTCTGCAGGAACTGTAGTGATAGTAATTCTCTAGTAATTTGTAGCTTTCTAAAAATCGTATCAGTCTGATTTGAGGTTCATCCATTTTATCGATCTGCTCAGAGAGCCAGGTTATTTCATTTTCTTCTATTGATTTTGGTTTTTAATTATAGTGGTTTCTTCTTTCAACATTATTTTCTTTCCTCTGCTTATTGTAAATTTTACTTTCCCTTTTTTCTAACTTTTTGAGGTGACTACTTAGATCATGGATTTGAGACCTCTCATCCTTTCTAATACAAATGTTTACTGTTAAAAATTTCCTAGAAGTACCACTTTTATCTAATCCCATAAATTCCAATATGTCATGCTTTTATTTTCATCCAGTTCAAAATACTTTATCATTTACCTTCTAAATTTCTTCTTTGATCCATAGGTTGTTTAGAAGTGTGCTATTGAGGCTGGGCACAGTGGCTCACACCTGTAATTCCAGCACTTTGGGAGGCCAAGGTGGGCGGATCACCTGAGGTCAGGAGTTCGAGAGCAGCCTGACCAAAATGATGACACCCCATCTCTAATAAAAATACAAAAATTAGCTGGGTGTGGTGGTGGGCACCTGTAATCCCAGCTGCATGGGAGGCTGAGGCAGGAGAATCACCTGAACCCAGAAGGCAGAAGCCGAGATCATGCCATTGCACTCCAACCCCTGGTGAAAGAGCATGACTCCATCTCAAAAAAAAAAAAAAAAAAAAAAAGGAAGTATGCTGTTTAGTTCCAAATATTCGGAGATTTTTCCAGATGCCATAATTTTATTGACTTACAATTTAATTTCATTTTGGTCATAAAACATGTTATATGGCTTGATTATTGTTCAGTGAATTTTTAAACTTTAAATATGGCTCAGAATATAGTGTACTTTAGCAAATATTCCAAGTGTTCTGAAAAGTGTGTGTATTGTACTGTTAAGAGGTGGACTGTTCTATAAGTGTCAATTAGATCAAGTATGCCAAGTAGACTTATTCAGTTCTTTTATATCCTTACTAAATTTCCATCTACTTGTTCAATTGGTTATTGAGAAAACACTGTTGAAATATCAAACCATAATTATGGATGTGTTCATTACTCCTTTTATTTCTAGCAGTGTTTGCTTAATGTATTTTGAAGTTCTCTTATTGGTGTATAAGCCTGTAGGATTATTATGTTTTCTTGGTGAGTTATCCCTGCAACATGAGGAAACGACTCTTGTCCAGGTGCAGTGGCTCATGCCTGTAATCCAAACAGTTTGGGGGTCTGAAGCAAGAGGATCACTTGAGCCCAGGAGTTCAAGATCAGCCTGGGCAATGTAGCAAGACCCTATCTCTACAAAATATAAAATATTAGCTGAGTGTGGTGGCACATACCTGCAGTCTCAGCTACTCAGGAGGCTGAGGCAGGAGGATTGCTTAAGCCCAGGTTTCAAGGCTGCAGTGAGTCAAGACTCTGCCACTGAACTCCAGCCTGGGTGACAGTAAGACCTCATCTCAAACAAAAAAAAGAAATGATTTTTTATTCCTAGTAATATTATTTGTCCCTAAGTATACTTTGTCTGAGATTTAAGTAACTATTTTGGCTTTCTTTTGGTTGGTATTAGCATGTCATATCTTTGTCTATCATTTTACTTTTAACATATTTGTGTCTTTAGGAGAGTTTCTTATAGGGAGCATATGGTTGGTTCTTGCTTTTATCTAATCTGACATTCTATGTTTCTTGAACATATAGTATATAGTTTTATAAAAACATATCTCTACTTTCTAATTCTACTCTCTGTGTCATTTCTGGGCCAATTTTGATTAGTTTTTCTTCTCATTATAAATGATATTTTATTGCTTATTCACATGTCTGGTCATTTTTGTTTGAAAGCCAGACATTGTGAATCTTACTTACATTGTGTGTTGGATATTCTTATGTTTTTAAAACTAGTATTGAGCCCGTTCTTTTACCCATTTAAGTTACTTTGAAGCAGTTTGGTCCTTTTGACGCTTGCTTTTATGCTTTGTTAGATGAACCAAGCAGCATTTCTTCTAAGTCTACTATTCCCCATTACTGAGGCAATGTAATTCTGTGTACTCTGCTCAATATCCCGTGTATTATGAGGGTTTTAAAAATGTTTACTGATGGGAACCCCACCTATTTCTGGCCTGTGTGAGCTCTGGGAATTATTCTGCCTGTCCATTGTGTGTCCCTTTTTCCATGCTTGAGTAGTTTTCTTACAGCCGTTCATTAGTCAATAATCAGCTGAAGGCTCGAGGCATCCCTCTGTATCTCTCTCTCTCTGTGTCTCTCTGTCTGTCTCTCACTCTGTCCTTTGAACCCTAGCTACTTTGGCCTCTCCAAACACCTTAACATATTGAGACCACTGGGCTCTGCCTAAGTTCTCACTCCTGATGCTGCCCTGGAAACTGTCCCCAGACAGTGCCTGAAGCAATCATAGCACTGCACCCAGCTGCTTTCCATCTCTCAGGAATCACTGGCCTTTGCTGCTTATTCTCTCATATATGAGAAATCAGTTTCATATATATTTTCTTATTTTTTAATTACATTGGGAGACAAATCTAATCCCTGTTACTCCATCCTTTCCAAACATTAAAAATTCAAATAATAGATTTTTACCCATATAGTTCCATTGAGAATCCTGGAACTGTGAAAAGTTTGGCATTTCAACCCTGGAAGGAAAAGCAAGGACCGGGGACGATGGCCCCTGGGTTCTCCCAGCTCAGCTGCGTACAACCTCAGTGCCCTTAGGAAGGTGCTTTGCCTCACTGGGGCCTCATCTACACATGAAGACTAAGTATTACCCACAGGCTTCACCACGTGCACTATGGTCGAAAGAAACCACATATAAGTAGGGAACAGGGAAGTGTTAGCTTCATATGCACTTCCCTGGGATTCCCAAGGGCTAGAGATGACACTCTACAATAAGCAAACGTAAGATAAAATTTTTTGTGTTAAATGATGAATTACATATGTTTCCATAAATACCTAACCTGAATTATCTGCCAAAATTTTCTAAAGAATCTTCTCTAAAACACACTGTGTGAATTCCTTTTGAGTATGAAATTGGCAGTGATCTCTCTGGTGTAGGTTATTCCTGGAAAGATACACAGGAAAGTGGGTCACAGTTGCGGCCTCCAGCAGGAAACTGGTGGTGAGGGTCAACCATGGCACAGCCCCATGTTTTACTGAATGCCGTTTCTAACACTTAAAAACTGTTCCATGGGCTTGTGTCCTCAGTAAACATATAAACTGAGCACCTAAGATAAATTTAGATAAATGTTTTTAAAGCTCAAAGCAGCCTTTGGCGACGCCTGCAGCCTTTGATGAATGTTTGCAGATCTATTTTCTTCTTAATCCATTTGACATTAAGAGGAAAATGCATCTGCAACTATCTTCCTTTCATTGTTGCCAGAAAACCCAACTTCCCCATGTCATCTGTGACTTCTGGGAGTAGGAAAAGTCCCAAGGTTCATAATATCATCTCTGACATACAGGCTGTGCCTAAACTTCAGTTTAAGACTTTGGGACCTGGTGAAATCTAAGAATCCCATGGGATATATGTAAATTCATGTCATAATCATTCACTTCCTGTAACATTCATGTCAACAAGAGACTCACTTACTTAGCAATACCTGCTGAGCCTGCTAGGTGCTAGGCAGATACAGAAGCGTTCTTGTTTCCAAGAACTCAGGCTGAGGGTCCAGGCCAGTCAACTGTAGTCATGATTCCTGTGTTCACAAAATGCAGACGTACCAAACAGTATTTTTAAGGGTTCCAGGTTGCATCTGCACAAAGTTTTGGGAGAGGTGGGTCCTCCTGTGTGCTTTGAGCGTAAGCAGAGTAAAGAAAGGAAGAGGATTAGGGTTCTCTGTAGGGTGTACCCCACTAGGAAAGGGCACCTCCCAGGCTGGGGGCTGCTCTGAAGGGAGCCCTGCCGCCCCCCCAGCTGTAGCAGCCAGGGCCGGTCTTGGGGGACTTAGAGCTACTCCTGAAGTGCTGTCACCCCACACTGCCTGCACCTCTTCATGAGCAGCAGGGACCACACTGCCCAGTTATTGGTAGAAAGGGTTGGATGGGAAGAGAGGTGGGGGAAATTCAGTGTCTGTAAAACCCATGTCCGGGTCCAAGGCCCATGGCTCAAGTGACCAGGAGCGTCAGATGCACAGAAGGGAACCCAGCTCACCACTGGCGGTGGGGAGGCCTGAGGACACACAGTGCACAGAATAGTTCGCGAGCGTCTCCCAAGAGGGTAACGAGAAGACACGGTGGAAGCATAGCGGCGTTGGACTCCGCTCACTGCTCAGGCACCAGGACACACTTTCCTGGGCTTGTTGGAGGACATGTTATTGAGCCTCCCCTGAGGCTGTGTCTCGAGAAGCCACGGCACCTTACCTCGCTTGCTCTGTGCATGGATGCTGCTCTGCTCAGAGCTTACGGCTCCCTGCAGTTAAAAGGAAAAGTGGAATCATGCCCCGATTACTTACAAAGCATGACCATTGTACTTGCTGTTTTCCCCACAGAAAAGAAGAATTCAAAAAACACTCAGTATGAAAATCTATCCATTCTGGACAAAATTCTTCAAAATATGGAAAGATCTTCAGGTAGGTTGGGAATAACAGGTTAGTGTCTTCCGTTTGGGGATATTTTTTTCCTGCTCAAGGGACAGGTATGTCTCCGAGCAGCTCCAGGAAGAGCAGGTGAGCCCAGCCCCCAGGTGGACCTGCCTGAGTACCACAGGAGCCCCGTCCAGCCACTGATGTGTGGACATCTGACCAGACAATTCCAATCCAAGGAGTTGTGACCCATGTCAATGAGGCAGCACTCTCCCTTCTCAGCCGAACGGAGCAAGGGACCAATCCCCATTTTCCCGAGAATAATCAGGACTCAAAAGGCTGCCACCACCCACCCACATGAGGGTCCCAGCCACGTGATGGCTGGAACCTGCTCCCTTGTGACAGGCCCAGGAAGGGCCCCCACACCCCTGTCAGGAGGCTCCCCACCCTCTCATGAGGTGGACCCCCAGTCCACCTCCCTGTTCCCCACTCCCTGTTCGCACAGGTCCACCACTGCCCGCCTGCTAAGAGTTGGCCACACGGGTCCTGTGGCTCCTGCCCATGGCCCCAGGCTTCTCCTCCGAGCTTTACAGGAGCCAGTCCTGGGTCAGGCTGACAGCCCTCCTGCCCTCCCGGCCACCCTGAGTCACATGGTGGCCCAGCGTGCCTAGACCCTCACCCAGTAGCCTGCAGCACACGCCCATCCACACAGCGTGAGACCGTCCGTCTGGAGCGCATCACACCATGAATCCCGAGCTGCTGTCTGTGAACGCCAAAGGCTTTGGCACATGAGCACTTGCTGAGCCACACCGCTGGCTTTTCAAAGCCCGAGCACAGGGCCAGATGTTGAGACCCCATCGCCTTCTTTCTTCTTCACTGGTGCTTCCTGAGCACCAACCACGTGCCAGGCACTGTCCTAGGCTCTGGAGTTTCTCCCATAAAACAGAGCCCTGCCTGGGAGTTCACCCACTAGAGGACGGTGAGGTGGGCCTCCCTGTCCCCTCTGAAGGCATCGGGGTTCTGACTTTTCCGTCCAGCCTGTCGGCTGCTGCTCCCAGCCCCTCACTGTCCGCAAGCGTGGGAAGCTGGCCAGCTGGTCCTTTGTTAAAATGCTGACGAGGACGGTCCTGGGACACATCACTAGAGGCCTCCCTGCTGCACAGGCTGTCACTGAGCACAGGCCAGGAGCTGCTCTGAAGTGGGGCTCCCAGGCCCCCACGTTCAGACTTTGCCAACCAATGAGCATCCCAGGACCACAAAACCTCAAGCCACAAGGTCTGTCTGTGTCCCCAGCAGCAGGGACCAGGCCAACACACGTGGCGCAGAAAGGGCAGTGAGCAGTGGTTCAAGCTACGGCCAGTTTCCCAGACTGTGCCGCCGTCAGGCCAACCTCTGCTGCTTTAGATACAGACTTCATGAGAGACCTTGTCAAAGATCCAGTGCTCTGGGACCTGACTGTTCGGCAATGCTGGACAGTGAAGGACCAGGAGTCTCCACCCTCCTGGTCCTGACATCCCAGGAATGGGCCCCACAGCCGGCTGCCGTGAGGGGAGGAAGAGGAGGGCCAGCCCAGCCCAGCCCTGCCAAGTTCGGAGTTACTGATGGGTTTTAAGGGAGAACGAGGGGGGAAACAACACTGGACAGAGTGGACCCGCAGAGAGAGCCAGAGGCAGCCAGACACAGCCAGTGCCCCCCTGTCCTCCTGCCTGGGACACATCGGCGGGGCTCTCCCTTTTCTCCCCAGCTGAGGGGCTGGTTCCTCCTGTCCCCTGGTGTCCCCGTGATCCTGCCGATGTCCTTATCTCCCTCACACCACACATGGCCAGGCTCAAAATCTCCTCTTTCCACACAGGAAACAATTTCCGTAAAGAGCAGCCGAGGACGAGTGCTCAGAGCAGGCGCCCAGGCAGTCAGTGAGGCCGCAGCCACCGGAGCCCCGAGCGGGAGACGCACCTGCGAGGACCTCCGCCCACCAGCCTCTGGGGCAGGGCACATGTGTGCACGCGCCCACATTGCGTGAGCCATTTGCATAAAGGAAAATCGTTATTTCACACCATCCAAATGGAGCTGGTTTATTTAAGTGTTAAGCTCAAGGGTGTGTGGGATTTGGTGGTTTTTTTAAAAGAAAACAAGAAACAAAAACCATATTGAGCCTTGAAATAAGCACATCAGAAGATTCTGTCTGCAAATAACAATCTCAGAGTTCGTGAGGAAGAACCCATCCATGAGGAACAGAAACTATGAAGGCCCAAGAGTCTCTTCCCTGCTGCCATGCCCTGCAAAACACACATGCACACATATAACACATGTGCACACAACGCACATGCATGCATAACACACACATGCATACACAACACATCCACACATACAATGCACACACATGCAACACACACAACACACACATACAACACACACAACATGCACACACACAACACACACGGAGCCTCATTCCAACGGAAATGTTTGCCGAGCTTGGGAATGCTGGCTGGGCCTGTGTGTCATGGAAGGTGAAGCTTTGCTGCAGGTGGTGTGTGTGGCCTCCAGCACTACCTGGGGCAGGGGCTGGGGGTGACAAGCACACACCTTGAGCAACTTTTCCTACCCAAACTGACTCTGACTGTGGATGGGCTGCAACCTCTACCAGACTCATTAAGGTCACCTGTCTGGAATAATTTAGGATAAAACATGACTTTCCCATTTCTCTAGAAAGGCAGCCAGGCTTGGAGAAGCTCATGGATCACGTTTTGGAACAATCCTGGACAGAGGACGTGTGTGCCCTTTGTGCAGTGTAGCAGTGGGTTGGCATCCATGAGGGCAGCTGGAAACGGAATCAGACAATGCTACTGCTTGTAGCTGCTGGCTGTGCTCTCAAGAGATGCAAACGCCCTATCCCCTCTTTCTATGGTGTCTCCGAGGCAACTGCAGAGGACCAAGGGGTTGGAATCAGGGCCCTTTGAGGCCTTTCGTGCAACCCCTCGATTCCAGAAGAGGAAACTGAGGCAGCGAGGGCACATGACTTGCTGGTAACTCCGTAAGTTGTCGGCAGGGCCAGATGCAGTTCTTCCTGATGCCCAGCGCTCTCCCGTGTCTGCTAACCCATGCTGCAGCCCCTCTATTAATACATGGACAGCCCCATGTAGTTCTCCTCCTTCCTTTGTGCAGTTGCAGTTTTGATTTTTCGGTTTTGCACGTGGATCTCACAAACCATTTTGAGCGAACTTTGTGGTTTATAAGTTGTTTGCGTGCACAGTGGGTACAGAGCCCTCACAGCCCTCAAGGCCAGAAGGCCAGCGTCGCCTCCACTCCACATGAGTGGGCCTGGGGCTCAGAGGTATTAAGTGTCTCACTCACCGCCACACCATCACGTGGCCCGCTGCGGACCCGACACCATGCCCCAAGCCAGGGCCTTGCTGCGGGAGGTTTTCATCATCAGTGGCATCATCGTTTTCCAAGCAGGGCCTGGCAGGGTTTGTCCCCCCAGAAACCTTGGCAGAGCAGGGCTGACCCAGAGAAGACAAAATATAAAAGCGTCATTGATTTGGCCACTCTCTCTCCTCTGTCCTGACCACGGGACAGCCCTGATCACATAGACTTCAAAAGCTGGAAGGTTGATTTAATAGTTTGATCGCATCAAAAGATTCCCTTTCTCAGGGATGGCACTGAAAACAGCCAAGGGAACACGCTGGGTCTCCAGATGGACGATTGCTGTGCAGGCTCCGGCACGCTCTTCCTGCTGAGGGGACACACTGGTGCTGCTCCTGGGAGGCTTCAAACAGGAACTAAGTTGACGAGGAAACACATCAGTGTTAATATTAGCTACCCCAAGGCCAGCGATGAGCTGGCTGACAGGGGTGTTAAAGACATGCATGTGAGGGGGGAGTGAGCCCCCACATGTACTAGGATGGGCATTCCAGGAAGAAAGCATCCCAAAGGTGCCAGGGCAGAGGCAGGCAAGTCTGAGGCTCTGCCACCCAGGGCAGGAATTGTAGCTAGAGAGGTTTCCTATTATATGCTCTGGGTGAGAGAAAATGGTGAAACATATTAATGAACGCTGTACGATTTCAGTTTTTTGAAATTTTCTGAGACGTGTTTTATGGCCAAACATACAATTTTGGTAAATATTCTGTTTGGAACTTGGGAGGAAGGTGTATTCCACAGTGGTCGGGGGCAGGATCCCATAGAGTCAGTGAGTCAAGTTGGTCCATTGTGTGGTTAAAATGTCTCCTTACACATTGCTCTTTGCCATCAAGTACCACAAGAGTTGCGGGAAACATCCCCACTGCGAGTGCGAGGGATGCATTTCTTTCCTGCTCTCAATTTTGTTTTATGTGTTTCAAAGCTATGTTGTTAGGGTTTTATAGACTGAACTGTCTTTCTGGCGGATTTAAGCCTCTATTGTTATGAAATGTTCCTCTTTATCTGTAGTATTTCTTCTTACCTAATATTTATTTGGTCTGATATTAACATAGCCACACTAACTTTCTTTCGGTAAACGTTTGCATGGTATATCATTTCCCATCCTATTACTTTAAACCTCACTGTAATGTTATACTTAATATAGATATTTTTAGGTAATATATAGGAGGACGTATATAGAAATCCAGTTTTTTTGTCTTTTAATTGGAATATTTCATCCTTTTACATGAAATCTGAGTAGTGCCATAGCTGGGTTTATATCTATGATAGTGCTATTTATTTTTCATTCATCTCACATGCCTAATTTTTTTCTTATTTCACTTTATTTGGATTAAGCAAGTATTTTTTCCATTCCATTTTCCTTTCTATTAGATCATTATGTACTTTAATATTATTTTAAAGGTGATATTAGAGACTACGATATACATCCTTCACATACTATCGCCTAAAATTAATACTTTTACCACTTCCTAAATTTTGTCTTCTTTCATTTTATTTGGACTGAGCAAGTTTTCTTTTTTGTTCAATTTCTGCCTCTACTAGATCATTAATCGTGTATTTTTAATATTATTTTAAAGGTGATATTAGAGACTACTGCAGTATGCATCCTGGACTTCCTATAACCTAAAATTAGTACTTTTACCATTTCCTGAGTAATGCAAGAATAGGAGAGTATTTAACTCCACTTACCATTTTTTGCATTTTTGTCACAAATTTTAATTCTGCATATATTTTAAATACTTCAAAATATTATACTTAGTTCTATGCATTTAATTCTTGCCTTGGATTCATCCACATATTTACTCCTTCATTTGTTCTTCATTCTGTTGTGCATTTTTAATGCTTCTGGCTAGCAGTACATTCCTGCCAACTAACTACTTTTAGTATTTTAGTGTAGGCCTATTGGGAAAGTTCTCAGGTTTTTATTTGTCTGAAAATATCTTCACATTTTGAAGAATGTTTTCACCAGACGTAGACTCTAGATTAGCAGTGTTCTTTTAGTATTTTCAGAATGCTTTCCACTGTCTCTTGAACGCCATCGTCTCTCCAGGGAAGTCTGCCGTCACTGTCTGTGTTGTTACTGCCCCTTAGACAGTCACGTGCCTTTCCACCTCTGGCTAATGTTAATCACTTTTCTTTGCCTTTTCATTTCAGCATATTTACAACGATGTTCCTAGCTGTGTGTTTATGGCACTTATCTCATCTGGGTTTATGGTGATATTTGAACCTGCGGCTTATTTCTTTTGTAAATTCTGAAAAGTTCTAAGCTGTCTTTTCAAATATTCTGTGGCTCTTTTCTCTCTCTCCTCTAATGATGCACCTTCAATGTTTGTGCCATGTCCCACATTTCCCTTATACTCTTTTTATTTTTCTTTCTCTGTTCTCTTTGATTTTCATCTGAATATTTTTTCCTGACCTACATCCAGATCACTAAATCTCTCTTCAGCTTTGGCTAATCATTTATTTATCATAATTAAATTTTAATTACTATGTCTTTTAATCTTGGAATTTCCGTTTGGTTTTATGGGTTCCACTTATCTGTGACATTCACCATTATGTCATCTGTTTTATAGAACTATATTAATCATAGTTATATGTCTAATCTGTATTTGATAACTCCAAAATCTGTATTATCTGGAAGTCTGTTTCTATTGCCTAGATTATTGTTATGATTGGTACTTTTGGATGGATTGGTAGACATCATGTTATGAAAAACTAGAAACTCTGAAAGGCATCTAGTTCTGGTAGCCAGTTACAGGGAGAACAGATGACCTTAAGTTGTTTTGACACTGAATTTGTCTTTGCAACACCTGATCTACTTCTACTTTTCCTTGTTCCTATGGGAGTTCCAATTTAGAGCTCTGAGAACTTACCAGGGCCCTTCAAATGCAATTTTCTTTTTTACACTGGGAGACTGCTTGAAAGCTCTTTAGCTCCTCTGCCTCTGCTGACCTTCTCTCCAGCTGCACAGCTGAGGACTTAGGGAATGCTTTAGGGAGACAAGCAGATTGGCTAGTTGGGCTCACTACACTGCACATGCCTTCTTTCTGGGATATTAGCACCTGAATCCCTGGCTGTATAAGAAACTCTTAACTCACACTTTTTCTTCCCAGCCCTGGGAGATTGCTGAAAGCTAGCAACTGCTGTCTGCTGTGCTGCTCAACCGGTGATGCATAAGAATTAGCAAATGCCTCCAGGGGTGATGAGCTCAGAATACAACACTCACACCCACCAATTGCCTTCTCTCTCAGTCTTGACCACTCAAGTTCTGCCCATCTTGGGAGTTTTTCAATATACACATTTGCATTTTATCCAGGTTTTCCTGTTGTTTTCAGTGAGGATGTGGCTGCTACTTATCCCAGAATCCCATTTTGAGAATCATTAATCTAGAAACAGAGGAGTTAACCAGCTTCATCCTGACATCTGCAAGGAAGACAGGATTTTGCCACAAATAGGAAAACACAGGGCTTCTGCAGTTGGGGTCAGGGAGGGAACAAACCAGAACCGCCTCAGAGGAAGGGGTGTGTTTGCCTGGTGGGGAGTCCTGCAACATTAGAGAGCTCACAGCTGCCAGCTCCTGTGGGTCTGGCAGGACCCACCAAGAGCCTAACACCAAGGGCACAAGCCAGACACTTCCCA